CATGATTAAAGTCATGTACCATCGCACCTGGCCTATACTGTTTTTATTATTATTATTATTATTATTATTATTATTATTATTATTATTATTAATTCAGCCACCTCATTTTACCATTATGGTAATAGCTTGCTTGTGCAAATAAAGCCTGTTTGAAAGTCAGAGAATTGAGCTTGCTAGTAGCTAACCATAGAGGTCTGGAGGACTGAACAGACAGACAGGAAGTGAGTTAGCTTGGCGGAAACATATAACAAGGGAGAAACGGGAACTCGCTCTCTTGTTTGTGGAGATGCTAAGGAGGTAATGTGTGATGATGGTTTGCTCCTTCTCTCTGATCTTTCAGCATTTTCTTCTATATCTAACTCCAGGTTTTTATTACTTAGACAAATTAAGAACTCTATTTACGTACCACCAAACTAAACATTACTTTTTATTAATATATACCTATATGGCTAACAGTTTATTCCTAATCACTCTTGTTTTTTATTTCTTTCTATGATTATTTTTCTTAATTAAATATATTTCATGAAAGTGCATTTATATTCACTGGTCTTTTTTTCTCTGCTAGTTTTAATTGCAATTAATCCCATTTAGTGTATTTTTTATCTCAAACATTTTAATTTTCCTATAAAAATTCAATTTGGGTTTTTTTGGGGGGGTCAAGACAGGGTGTCTCTGTGTAGCTATAGCTGTCTTGGAACTCACTTTACATAGGCAAGGCTAGGCTCAAACTCAGAGATCAGCCTGCCTACCCAGTGCTGGGATTAAAGGTGTTCACCATCACCACCCAGCATTGGTTTGGGATGGTTTGGTTTTTAAATATATTTCAAGTTAAGTGAATTTTGTTGTTTTTGTTGTTTGGCTTTGCTTTGCTAATTTGAGGCCAGGTCTTACTATGTAGCCTTAGCTAGCATTGAATTCAGTATCTAGACTGAATTTGAATTTGAAGCAGTTCACCTGTCCCCGCCCCCAAATGCTAGCATTACAATCTTGTCTCACACACATACACACACACACACACACACACACACACACACACACACACACACACCTAGTTTAAGTGAACTTCTTGACCATTCAAAATATAGTTTCAATAACTGTCATAGTGTTTGCTAATTCTAATATCACTGTCATTTCTGGATCATTTTTATTGATTTTTAAAAATACATTTGTTCTTTGAGAATTTCATGTAATGTAGTCTGATTATACTTTTCCCCAATCCTCCCTCTAACTCTCCCAAATTTATCTCTATTGCCTTCTCTCTCATGTTCATGTCCTCTTGCTCTTTTCAAACTAACCTATTGAATCCAGTTTGTGCTGCCCATATACTACTTAGTGTATCAACAGCCAGTGGAGCCTGAGCCAACCTACAGGGACCATACTCTTAAAGAAAACTGAGGAGCCGTCCCTGTCTATAGCTCAGTGGTTAAGTTTAGGACCTGTGAAGTAAATCCTTTGCTCTCCATTCTAGCATGTTGACTGGGTTAATCTTATGTGGGTCCTATGTCAGCAGCTACAGCTGCTATGAGTTCATAAATGCAGCATTCCTGACATGGCCAGAAGACATGGTTTTTGCTCCTGTCCTTCCCTGACCCTTGCCTCTTCCACAATGGTCTCTGAATATTGGGGTAGGGTGTGATATAGTTGTCCTAATTATGGCTGAACATTCCATGGACACATACTCTGCATTTTGACAAGTTATGAGTTCCTCTGTTTGCCATCATCCTCTGTACTTCTCTAATGATAGCTGTACTAATCTGTGTGCAGAGATGGATTTAGAAGGTAGTTTGATACTCTGTCCATTTAGCAGAATAATTGTTGGCTCATTCCTGGGGTCTGTGAGGTCCCCCAATCATGGGTACTAATTACCAAGTGTGTGGTATTTAGGGTTTCTATTACTGTGAAGAGACACCATGATCATGATGTCTTAAAAGGCAGCTCTTATAAAGGAAAACATTTCATTAAGTCTGGCTTACAGTTTTCAGAGGTTTAGTCCATTATCATCATGATAGGACATGGCAGCATGCAGGCCAACATGGTTCTGGAGAAGAAGCTGGGAATTTTACATCTTGATCTGCAGGAAGCATAAGCAACTGTGTTTCACACTGAGTGTAGCTTGAGCAAAGGAGACCTCAAAGTCTACCCCTACAGTGACACACTTCCTCCAACAACTCCATCTCACTCCCTATAGGGGGCATTTTCTCTCAAACCACCACACTGAGCCTTCATTTTCTCCTATGGAGCAGGTGGACCAGGCTTTAATATTAAACAAATCAGAAAGTGTTTGGTTATCCCCTTAACATTTGGACTGCCATTGCACCCATGAGCATATCTTGCCTTGGTGGTTATTATTGTAGCTCACAGTGTTCCCACCAGGTGAGACTCTTGACTTTTACTTAGCAGCTTATATCACCTTCTAACACTATGAAAACCAGCGGGGAAAGAGCTTTCTGCTCAGTTCCAACTTGATTCACCATGTCCTATGACCTATATATGTGGTGTCTTTAGCAATAGGGTCTTTCCACTAAGTTCTATAGGCCACCAAGAGCAATGGCAATAGTCTGTATTGCTTTGAGAGTCTCTGGGATACCTCTGACCAACTACTCAAGGGAAGGTGACTCATACCTGGCACTGGGCTTTTTATTTGGCAGTGTATGGCTTTGGGGAGAAGCAAAATTCCCTGTGTAGGATAACTAATTAAATGCTTATAAAATGGGTTTCCATGTGACTTTTAAAAATACCCTTAATGTTAGTGTAGAGAGTGTATCCCACTTGATGATCTATTCCTGACTTTAATTTAGCTTCATTCATTCTCTTGGTCAAAAGTTTAACATATTCTGTAACCTTATTTTTCTGAGTGTGTTGCTTCTTCAAGACAATACATAAACATTTATGTTGCAGGAAATGTGGAATAACTAGACACTAAATCATGGGTGCTTTGGTCCTGGACTTTTGACCTTTGTTAAGGACTTTCTGACAACATCTAAAAGTTTATGGATTCTCCCATCCCTTTTGGGCCTGAACTGCTAAGGCATAGCTTTATCTGTCAGTCTAGGAATACGTTCTTTTGTTCTGTCTTTCTTTCTTTCTTTTTTATAATCAAATTGAAACCTCTCAGGTTGGTATTCTTATAAAAGGAAGAAGCCAAATTCTAACAACATATTATTGCTACTCCCATGTAGTAAAAATTAAATTCTTCAAAATTATAAACATATTTTAGAGGGAGCAGCTTTTTGTTTGTTCTGTTTTGTCTTTTGAGACATAGTGTCATGAAATTTTAAAAAATTTTTAAATATATTTGTATTTGTTCCTTATCTGCATATAGCATGTATTTGGAACTCAGAGGACAACATGTGAGAGCTGATTGTTTCCATCCTGTAGGTTAAATTCAGGTCATCAGACTTGGCAACAAGTGGCTTTGCCTCTGAGCCATCTTGCTAGCCCTCAACAGCTGAATTTTGTTGATAATATTTAACAGTGTTTGGATGGTCAAATGCACACACATACTAAAATCATTAACAGAGGTATCTGTACTTTACATTTCTAATATAAGTGAGATGACAGTGTGAGCTCCTAACAGAAACCATAAATAGGATTAATCTGTAAAAGGAAAAAGCTGATATTTTTCAATATAGTTGTCTTACCGTTTATATATCTTAAAAGATTATAGTTGCTGAAACTCAGAATTCTTCTCGTCTGTGTTTTGGTATTTTCTGACTGCTTCATTCTACGATCTCCTTTTTTCTGGTCTCTTGAGAACATTATTTCACTTGGTTCTTCCATGAGATTGATTTTGCAGTTTGTACAAATGAGAGAAAACTTGTAACCATTTTCTTTCTGTATCTGGTTTGTTTCTCTTATGTAATGATTTCCAGTTCTGTTCACATTGCTAATAACAAAAATTAATTCCTTTAATGGCTAAGTAATATGTCATTGTGTGTACATCACCATATTTTCTTTATCCATTTATCTGTGATGAGTATCTTGGCTTATTTTATATATTGGCTAATAATACAATTTTTTGTGTTTGTTGTGTGTGTGTCTATGTTGTGTGTTTATGTATATGCGGGTGCCTGTATGTATAGAGACCTGAACTCAAATGTCTTCCTTTGTCACTCTCCACCTGTTTTTTTTTTTTTTTTTTTTTTTTAGACAGGGTCTCTCACTAAACCTATACCTCACTACTTGGCAGGACTGTGTAGTCAATGAGTTTCTGGGATCCAACTGTCTTTACCGCTTTGCACCCCCCCCCAACACACACACACACACACACACACACACACACACACACACACACACACACACGTGTACTGGGCTTACGGCTACACACCGCTGTGCCAAGCTTTTGCATGAGTGCTGGGATCTGAACTCACAACCTCATGCTTAAGCAGCAGGCAGGCACTTTACCAGTGGAGCCATCTCTGTATCCCCACAGTTTCTTTATAGTTCTAGTTTTTCTGTTTAATAACACTAACAAGCACATAACTTTTTTACTTGAGTTGTTATTATTTACTATTCATTATAGTCCTTTCTCTCTTTTTGAGTCAGTGTTTCTCGTATTCCAGGTTGGTCTCCTACTCACAGTATAGCTAAGAATGGCCGTGAACACCCAGTTTTTACGCAGTGCTAGGTATCAAACCTGGAATTTCTTACATGCTAGACAGACATTCTGCCCCCAGCCTCTGTTACTGTAATTTTGTAGAAATGAAATCATGTGGTTAAAATATAAACATTTTTATAGTATAGAAATAACTACAGTCAAAATTCGCTGTTTTATTAAGCTAAAGTAGATATATAAGTTAAAGTGTTCCACCCTGGAGAATACAGGGGAATATGTATTTCCGTATGGGATTGAGGCGCAGCATACTTTTAAGGGGACACTTAGTATTTACATGGAAAACAAAAACAGTTGTCTTAATTACTGAAGATAAATATAACTTTAAATTTCAGTGTTTTATGCTACTGTCTTTAAGTAATAGTAGTATAATTTAAATTTTGTTTAGGCTTCGGGAGCAAGAAAAAAAAGAAGCAGAAGAAGCTTGCCAAAAGGAAGTAGAAGAGTGGGAAAGAAAACTCCTTGCTCAAGCAGCTCCAGCCTGTATGGAGAACATGTGGGAAATTCCAGCCATTGGGCATTTCCTTTGTTTAGCCCAGCAGATTCTAAACTTGCCAGAAATTGTCTTTTATGAACTGGAACGCTGTCTTCTGATGCCTCAGTGTAATGCCTTTCTGTCTAAAATAATGACTTCTTTGCTAAGTCCTCCCCACCGCAGGCCGACCTTACATCGAAGACCTACTTTGCCTTACAGGACTTGGGAGGCAGCATTGAGACAGAAAGTACAGCAGTGGTACACTGCTGTAGGGCAGACGGAAAATCCTGATAACTGCGCTGAAAAACTTGGCTTGTGTCCTCAGTTCTTTAAGGTTCTTGGAGAAGTTAACCCATTGGAAGAAAAACCTTTTCATGAGCTACCTTTCTACCAAAAGGTGTGGTTACTTAAAGGGCTCTGTGACTTTGTGTATGAAACACAGAAAGAAGTTCAGGATGCTGTGCTTGGGCAGCCCATCCATGAGTGTAGGGAAGTCATCCTTGGCTATGACTACCTGGAGAACGCTTATGTGCACTTTCCGCAGTTCTGCGGTGCAGATGTACGGATTTATAAACAAAGGCCCTTTCAGGCCCCAGAATTTCCAGTTCCACCCATTAAAGTAAAAAGAGTACCTCGAATTAAACTGGAGAAATTAAAGTGTGACTATTTGAGTACAAGTAATGGAGATCACAGATGTAATAGAGAAAGTCTGACCTTGGCCTTAAAGAAAGAGCAGGAAATTGATTTTGGTCCAGCCCGTTGTCCTGCTAAAATGAACTTTGATAATCATGACATCTCTGTTGAAATGGAAGTAAAATCTAACTGTGACATTAAAGTACACAGGCCCTGTGAAATTGAAAAAACTGATTGTTGTAAAGAAAATTTGGAGAAGCCCAGAAGTCCAGGAGAAGTTACTGGCTTTGGAGAGCCACTCAGTCCAGGTGAAATAAGGTTTATAGAAAATCAGGAAAAATATGGTGAAGCTTCCAGAATAAAGACAGATCCCAGTCCACTAAAAGAAAATGCTCTGAAATCTTGCCAGATCCATATAAATGGGAGTCACGTTGATCATCAAGATATTAACTGCCACAAAGTTGTAAGAGATCTATTATTAGAGCACTCCTTGCAGAGCCACAAAAAACTAAAACTAACAAAAATGAGGGCAAAAAAGAAGAAAAAGAAAAAAAAGAAACTGAAAGATGTTTTGAATGAAAATTTACAAAGAAAGCGTGAAGGTCTTCATTCTCTTGCCTTCAAGTCTTACAAACCTGAGATCCAAAATAAGTTATTGATCATTAAAAAGAAAGGAAAACACAAGAAGCACAAATCTGGTAAGCTGACCTAATGATAGAATGAAATGCATGTGTGTATTTATGTGTATGTGTGGGGGGGGTCAAGTTTTATTTCACATGATTAAAAACTCAGGGCAGGAACGATTTTTATATACTAACAAAAAATAACTGGTATAATACATTTGAATGAATCACAATTTGACATATTTGGAGATATATGTGGATACACACACACATATACCTATACATATATGAATACTATATATAAATTTTTTGTTTGGTTTTTTTGAGACAGGGTTTCTCTGTGTAGCTTTATAGACCAGGCTGGCCTCAAACTCACAGAGATCCACCTGCCTCTGCCTCCCAAGTGCTGGGATGAAAGTCATACACCACTGTTGCCTGGCCACTTTTGGATATTATATTTTATATTTTTCCCTGTAAATAATGTGTCTCTATCATTTAGATTAAGTGATTTTTTTTTTTCTTCCAAGCTAAGGACAACACAAGTATAACCGCTCGTTTCTTTATCTGGAATAATCATATTATTTACTGGTTCTTAACTTATTCCCCTTAGCACTTTATTTTCAGTATGTATTCTCATATGTAGAAAAAAAACTGAATCTAGGAATTATGTCAATTAATAAAACACCAAGATTAAAGCATATACTTATAAAAGTAAGCAGATCAGTGGTAGTGCACACCCTTAATCCCAACACTGGGATGGCAGAGGCAGGCAGATCTCTGATTTCTAGGTAAGCTTGTTCTACAAAGCAAGTCCCAAGAACATCAGAGATGATACATAGAGAACTCCTGTTTCAGAAAGAGAGAGAGAGAGAGAGACCAGGAATTTCTAAGTGTGTCTTTGCCCAATTTAAATACCTTATATATTTGCCAGCAGCCTGTGTGAACAACAGAAGTTTATTCTGGTTGATTGATCATTTTTTGCTTTTGCTTTTTTAGGGATTCTGTTGCTTTTGTGTTTCCTATGATCTGTCTTAATCAGTTTATCTCATTTACCACAGGATAGGTGAGACAAAAACATATGGTCACTTATATAACCTTTATAAAAAGAATTGCTTATTGGAAGAAAAAGTAAGAATTGCTTACCAAAATGAGTTGTGGTTCTAGTCCTCATTGTTGGTTCCATTTTCATTGCTTCCCATGGCAGTATAGTTTATTAACTTGGTAAAAATTTGCTACTGAGTTGACAAAAGGAGTGAGGTTTTACTTACTTAAATCATCACATAGAACTCGGTATGTTCTAAAATGTGTGCAATGAGTCATGATAAAGTATAGGGCCAGAGAGATGATTGAGCAGGTAAAAGCTCTTGCCACCAAATTTGACCTGATTTCTAACAAACACACACAGTGGGGGCCAGAAGCTAGGTACACACAATAAATTAATGTGTTTTTAAAGTAGTAGTGTAATGTTACCACAAAAACCAGGCCTACCTTGCTTTTCAATTGGCCCATATTAACCTAACTTTTTGATTTTTCGAGACAGGGTTTCTCTGTGGCTTTGGAGCCTGTCCTGGAACTTGTTCTATAAAGCTCACAGAGATCCGCCTGCCTCTGCCACCCAAGTGCTGGGATTGAAGGTGTGCACCACCACCACCTACCTTGACATAATATTTTAAAGTAACTTTCAGAAATAAGCCTTTGGAATGAAAACTTGCAAAGACCATGTGAAGGCCTTCATTCTCTTGCTTTCAAGTCTTACTAGTCTGAGAAGTAATGGTATTCCATCCAATGTTATAAAGGTAAACATTGGTTTTACATCATTTCAGACCACTTGTCTTGTAAATTTTTATCAGGTTTTGAGGCAGCATGACATTTTTGGGCTGGGTTTCCATCATGTTTGAGTCCAGTGCTTCCTTTTTTATACTTTGTAGAAAGTGAGCTAGCTCCATGATCATAGGTTTGACTGTGCTTAGTATAAGTTCACTGTGCGCTCTGGGAAACTCCTACCACTTTTTTTTTTAATTTATGTACTTATTTTTATTACATATACAATGTTCTACCTGCATATCTTCCTGCATGCCAGAAAAGTGCGCCAGATCTCATGATAGATGGCTGTGAGCCACCATGTGTTGCTGGGAATTGAACTCCTCAAGACCTCTGGAAGAGCAGTCAGTGCTCTTAACCTCTGAGCTGTCTCTCCAGCCCCACATTCGTTTTGAAATTTAGAAATCTTGAGATTTTAAAGGAATATTATGATATATCTAGTAGTTATTAAATGTGGGTGGTTAGAGTAGATGAAATGAAATTGTTCTTAAAATCTTACAACAGTTCAGGGCTGCATTTGTTAAGCATATAAATTGGTTTTAAATTTTTAGTTTTCAGAGCCATTTTAGACTTAAAATTTTAGGTAAATGATTCAGGGCCCGTGTATTAAGAATTCTAGAAGACTTCAAAGGAAAAAGAAACTTTCTTTTGATTGCTATAATATTCTCTTCAAGTTTATTTTCACACAAAGCTTTTCCAAGTAATAGTTAGCTTGCGTGCCTTATAGAACTGCTTTGGGTTAAGCTGTGTCATCCATGTCTGGTTTATGAACTTAGACTTAGAGCAAACTAAATTTTACATATGGTTGGTTATCTGGTCCACAATATGTTACAGACTACAGACTGTAAATTTTTAGGTATTCCTGAGTTTTAGTTTAACTTATGGTTGTGATAAGAAATGATTTTTTTTAAAATAGAAGGTACAAAGGCAAATCACTTTGAATAATTTGATAATTTTAGTACACTGTGATCCACTTTTGTAATTTTTAAGCATTTTATCTGCTTTTCAGACTTGGATTTTTATTTCTGCTTTCTAGATTGTGGTTTCACTTTTTAGCCATTTATGCCTTTTACCTGTCATTTAAGGTGAGCAAGTGAGATTAACTGGGAAAGACTAGAAATGATTCTTTATCATATTATTTTTGAGAATTTAATATGATCATGTATAAAATATGTGCATCATTTCCACTCTACACTTTCTCAGCTACAACTCTTCCCATGTCCCCAAGTTCCTTTCAATCTTACAATATTTTCTTCAATTATTGTTTTATATACATACATACACACACACACACACACACATACACACACATGCACATGCACGCATGAGTACAGACACATAAAAATACAACCTGCTAAGACCATTAAGTATCTCCCAAGGCCCCACCACTAGATGAAAGAGTTGCAAGCAAATAATTGCTGCTAAGAGGGAGAATCAGTCTTTTCCAGAGAAGAGCCCTACCTCTATCCCTGCTGATTATGATTATCCAATCATAAATGGTCATCTGTAAACACGTATACATATAAGTTACACTACATAGAAACAACTTTTCAGAGGAAAAATACCATGTTTAGAAAAAACATTGCAAGTTCTCTTTAAATTTACTGTTGCTATTGGTTGAAAAGCAAAAGCAGTGCATTTTTCTTCTGCTCTTAAGCAAAACAATTTTTTTATAAAGGTCCTTTCCTCATTTCCTCATTACCTCATTCTTTTATCACGTAAAGAAACTTCCCCATTGTTTTTCTAAGTAAATTTTTCTCTTTTGTATGTAATTAGAGCATTAGGCACTTCTTTAAAATACTTAACTAATAGTGGCATTTATTTCTGGTATAGTTTGATGAGTGTCTCCCTTCTACTCTAACATTCTTGAGGACTGAAGGACTATTTCTGGTTTTGTATCCCTAGCAATTACTGCCATGTTTAATTAAGAATCTGTTAAATAAATGAATATATAAAGTATGGTTTCTCCGGATATATCTATGATTAGCCTCTTCCTGTGTATCTTTTTCTGGTTTTCTGAGACAGGGTTTCTCTGTGAAACAATCCTGGCTGTCCTGGAACTTGCTGGTCTCAAACTCACAGAGATTCACCTGCCTCTGCCTCCCGAGTGCTGGGATTAAAGGCATGTGCCATCACCACCTGGCTTTACTATGTATCTTTAATGTCATTTTAAGACATATGTTTTAATAGGATCATATTGTACATACTTTTTTAAATATATACTTTGTAGTATTCTCACCTTTCAGAATACATGAACAACTCTGAAATATAAATAGGTCTTTGCTGCATCATTTTAAGTGGCTGAATAGAATTCTGTATTTTGTAGTTTATTGAATCACCCTCCTTAGTGGATGTTTAGGTTGTCTTAGACCGTTTGAAGCAAATAGTTCAAATTAATTTAAAATATAAATATGCATTTGTAGTAATAAAAGACATCTTAAGTTACCCGTTTTAAGCTAGTTTTAGTGTAAAGGAATTTTCTTCTCTCAGCAATCTTTCTTTTCAACCAGATCATTGTGATACTTATGATTGATCTGAATGGATAAGGCAAACAGTCTTATTTTCTTAGAGGTTAAGAGACTGGTCAGTACAATGGCCCAGTTGAGTGAAGAAAGGCTCTTGCTACCAAGCCTGATGATCTGAGAGGCGCGTGTGTGCGTGCGTGCGTGCGTGCGTGCGATTTATTTATTACTTATTTATTTATGTATTTATTTATTTTTTGCATTTGAAGTAGGGTCTTACTGTGTAGCTCTGGCTAGCCTGCTACTCTGAATAGACCAGGCAAGACTCGAAGTTGAAAAGACCTATTTCTGCCTACCAAGTACTGGAATTAAAGGCATGTTTGACTAATTAAAAAAAAAAGAAAGAAGAGAAAATTAAGTTCAAAACTGGTAAATATGGGTCTGTGGAGGTGGCTCAGCTATTAAGATTGCTGCTTTTGCAGAGGACTTGAGTTCAGTTCCTAGCATCCACAAGGATGTTCACAGCCCTTTGCATGCAACTCTACTTCCAGGGGATCTGACACTCTACTAGCCTCTGCTGGCTCCAGGCACATATGTGGTGCACATACATACATGCAGACAAACACTAATAAGAATATATAAATCTTTAAAAGAAAATCCTAATAAATAGCCTTCTCAATTAAATAATCAAGACCATACAATAAAAAGAGCAAATGGAAAACTCAGTGTATACCATGGGAAGATTTCACAAAGGAATGAAGGACTTTGAAGATTAGGCTTGATTAGATAAAA